TTGGTTAAAGGCCGCCGTACAGTTCGCGCTTTCCACTTTCTCTGCGTTTCCTCCTCTCCTGCCCTCCTTTCCTTCCTTCAGCGCCCTCCCCCACCTGTTTACCGCCCTCCCCCGAGGGGACAACACGGAGAATGGATTAGGAGACGCCTCCGTTAATCCGGCCTAACCCGCCGAAGAGGGGGCCTGCGCTTTGGCGGATGCGCAACGCTCCGTCCGCCTTGAACAAGCTTGTATGCATTGGACTAACATTTTTCGATGCGCGGCAGGTTTAGTGTAGGTCCTATCATATGGTCCTGCAAGACTTCCCTGTCCGCCACAAGCTAGCCAATAATTCAAGAACATAACGACGGCAGCGTATTCAAACAGTGTAAAATAAAATGTATATAATATTTATAAGAACACCGTTGTCTTCACTGCTTGGCTTTCAAATTTTTAGCGTTGCCAATAATCGTAATCAAACTATTTTTATCATAGAAGACCCCCCGTCGTGCATCAACCCCAAGATTACGCTTACGTGAAACATGATTCGGCGCGGGAGCGGCTCGAGTCACCGTAAACTTTTTTTTTTTTTTGTTCAACGTGGATTTTGCTTTTTAATTTAGCTGAGGTACCACTGGCAGAACACGAATCGCATACTTGGAAGGTATATACCGTCTGAAAACTCATATAGCTGGTTGAGTGAATGCAATACTATCGCATTCGTTGAAGCTTGATTTGTTGATTCGAACTTCAACAAATCACACGCACCCATTCTCCCTATTCCTGTTTACCCAGTCATGGTCGTTCCCTCACGATGCAATACGAGTACAACTGCAGTTTATGCATTGTTGACGTTGCACAGCCGTGATCGCACGGTTTTTAGAAGCGCTATAGAACGAGCACAAGCGTCGAATTCCGGTACACTGATTGATTTCTGTCTCACCGCCGTGACGCCACACGAGAAAAGTGATTTCGTTCTGTCTGTGAAATTAGGAACACAGAAATCAAGCTATAATCCCGGTGACAAAACAAAGCGAAATGGATCTCTGCAGCCAATACCCAACCGTTTGCGAGGTGACTAGGCGAAAGCATATATTACCTCCGTGCCTTTACCCTCTGCACACTGCCAGAGAGAGTCATACAAACTCCTTGGAGCTACTGTCAACACGATTGCGTTTGCAAGCCGGTAGTTTGACTCGGCTGGGATTCGTCCCTTTCAGAGCTCTCTATGAAACCAGAAAGGTAGATACTTTTTTACATTGGGTGGGTTTGCCCGGGACCTCCAGTTATTTACGGCCAAAATCACACTGGATGCGCTTCAGCAATGTTCACTCTGGTCGACACACGTGCACTCTAAAAATGCCAGTCGTCTGCCTTCCCAAAAGATACTTGAAGTGCCAATCATAGAGACCGACGGATAACGAGGCCGAAATTATGCTTATACCTCAAAAAAATTATAACACAAATTTGGCCTCGTCATTCCCAATCTGGTTGCCGGACGAAATTCTCTATGCGTATTGCAAGCCAGGATTGGTAATAGTAACATAAGATAAGTACGGCAGAATTCCCTGCCATAAATAAAATGATTTGGCTGGCGCCAAAGTAACGCGAAATAGGTGCAAAGAGTTTTGCAAAAAAGAGCGTAAACCGAAAAAAAGGGGAAAAAAAGACAGAAGAAAAGGAGAAATAAGAAAAAAAAAAATCTCTGCTGACGTGGCCAAAAAAAATTCTGTTCATGTGTATTTTATTGTCACGTTACCGAACAAAAAAATAAACGAAATAGAAAAAGAACGCGACAAAAAAACCATCCCCTGCCCGGTTTCGAAGCTAGGCCCTCTTGATCGTGAAACTAGCGCGCTATTCGTTGCGCTTAGTTGCGCCAACATAACTTTTTTTTTTCTTTCTTTATTGCAAGTTGCGCCAACATAACTCTGCCTGTAATGCTCACGCATTCTCACATCATAGGAGAAAGCTTAGGTGCCTTCGTAGTTTTTCATGCATGTGTTATTTTTATTTGTGGCGAGAGTTCACGTTCCAGAATGCTTTTAAAGTTTTGGAGCAAAACGAGTTTTCTTCATCCGAGTCAGCTTCTAGAGCCAGTAGACCGCACTGGGTCCTCCGGCTAATCAAGCAGCTATTTTCAAATTCTCTGACGTGCCCGTCCTCGCATCCGAGGTCGCCGTTTGACAAGCTTATCTTCCACCTTTTAGCCGGAACACCCACGGCAGCTTTGTTCCGTCCCCACTCCCTCTCGAGAGGATGGCTCGCCCCGAGGCTAATCCTATTCTCTAGACGCCCTTTCCACCCAACGCTGGCCCTTTCCCTCTCCGTCTCCAGCTTCGGGAGAGAAGGTTCTTCCCTGCAGAACGTCCCGTTTGTACAGCGGCATTTAAATATTTAATACAAATCCACCCGCATTCGATGGGGGCAACGAGCGGAACCGCATGGTGGTTGCGATTTAAATCATTCAAATGCCAGTCTGAATGCAGCAGCTTATCCAGGCAGTTTGTAGCTGGCGGTATCTGACGCGCCGAGTGACCGGAGCAAAAATGGCGCCTCGGAGCCGCGGGGCCTCGAAAAGCAAAAAACAACCAACACAAAAGCGTCGCGCAGCGAGCTCCGCCTGGTGGACTACATTCGTCCAATGAGAGGAGCGGGCGGCATTCTTCAAGAGATGTCGCTACCTTTCAGTATAGAGGGACCTTAGTATGTTCTGGTTCGCAAAACACCTGTCCTTGCCTCAATCAACAATGAGCTTCCCCTAGAATTGTCATAAATGCTTTCTTTGGCAATAACTGTTTTGTTTAATCTATATCTTTCCAGAGCCTTGAAATTGAACTGTGTCGTCACCGTGCGGCCGAAATTAGAAACATGCGAAAACGGGCATAGCCTCCGCTTCGGCATAGCTTCTGGTTTCGGGATCTCGAAGGCATAGAGTTATTATAATGTACGCTAGAGGTTCAAGTGGCGCTAGTGTGCTGACGCAAATTGAAGCAGACAGCAACCAGTCGAAAATTGACTTCCGGTAATACATTTCTATGGGAAAAAGTGAGTGCATTTTCTCTCTGCGCTCGATCATAAGAGCAAATATCCCGAATAATTCATACGCAATAGGTAGCTTAGAACATTTCTCAGTAATGCCGACGAAATATTTGGTCAGTTACGGTGTTTTTCTTTCAAATTCATCGCATTAAAAACGGTGCTAAAAGAGCTTCGTACGTGTATTTATGTGCACTGTCGGACACTGTTAGCGCGAACACGACGTCGGCGCTTTTCAGCGTGGGGGATATACGTGCCAAACGAACGAAGAACATCTGGAAATTAAGAAAGACGGCAAGAACTACGCAGTAACACCGGATCAGAAACATACACGTGCATATACGATCAAAATTAATTGAAGGCCACGTAATCTATTCCTATTTTAAATAAGTAAGTATACCGTTTTATTCTTTCTGCTCTGGGCGAAGCTGCTTGTTCTACGTTCAAAATATCACTCGCACGCTCGAAATCTTTGAGAACAAGTGGCCGATAAAAGCTGCCCAGCAGAGAAAACAATACGAAGAGACAACTTTTATAGCCCACGGACTTTATTCTCTACGTTTTGAATGTTTTTGTCCGCTCATGCACGACGGGGTCATTTTTATATAGTGACAGGACTGGCATATTAGCAATATATAAGAGTCACCGGATTGCTGGCGAGCCTTGAACACACTCTACATTCCTCTCGATTGTAATTTTGCTTCCAATCGTCGCTTGTTTTTACACACCTGCTGCGGAACACACGTTTGGGACTGAAATGTAGCGAAGTTAAACATCGGTCACTGATGAAGAAAAATGCGCTAACTAAAGCAATTACACTTTTACAGTGTTAATCAAGGTACATACTATTCGGCACGACCCAAATAACCAAAGTGTTCCGTGTTATTTTCCGGTGAAGAGACAAAATGCACGCGCGCTTTCCCATAGGAATACACAGGAAGACTGGAAAAGTAGACTGGTTGCTGTCTGCTTCAATTTGCGTCACGGAAGTCGCATAGACACTAGCGCCAGTTGAACCTCTAGCGTACATTATAATAACTCTATGCTCGAAGGCCATGAAGCGGGGATACCGCCGTGCGGTCGTCTGCTACGGGCGCACGTTCAGAAGCTAGATCTCGACGGCGCAGGCCCGTTTCTGGCTGAGCTGAGCCCTCCTCATTAAACGCTTATTGTCCTTGTTGTCGTTTGTTCCTACTAAAAGTTGTGTTTTAACGTTTTACACGCGTGGACATTCAGCAAAGCGGTTATTATCAAGTCGGATGCTTCCATAATCTTAGTGCTGTGGTTTGTATACAGCCGCTGGTCCCATATCTTTTTTGTTATATCGCAGAAACCATAGCTTTTATAAAGCATTGAATGTTGATTGGAGCTGTGGTTTGATTAAAAAAATAACCTCGCTAATCGCTACCCTTAAAGGGGTATTCACACGAGGGAGAAATCCCCCCGCACGCGTATCCCACGACGAAAACGTCAGGCTTTGCGATGAGCAAAAGCCTCGCGTTTTCATCTCGTGATGCGCGCGTGTCGGGGAGAAATTCCCAGGATTTCTCCCTCGTGTGAATACCCCTTTAATAGGCTAATCAATTGAAAATCCGTTTGTTGATTTTTTTAAAATGTTATATGCCATAAATGGCATATTGGATGACTACTTGAGACTTCACGTTGTGACGCCTACGGAAATTGAAATTTTGAAATTAAGTAATTTTTAACACTGGTTGGAGCTGAGCTAGTTAGTTGGATCATATTCTTGGGTGGTGCCAACTGAACAGTAATGAACCCAAAAAATTTATAACCGCTGGATATTACATGTAAACGCTGAGAGTAGTGAAGGAAGAAGAAGGCTGTAATATACTTGATAGTCCAGCGGTTGTAAAGTTTCCGTGTTTTAATATATATATATATATATATATATATATATATATATATATATATATATATATATGTGTGTGTGTGTGTATATTTATTACTCGCAAATCTTCTTATCTGCATAAAGCTTTTTTATTCACACACCTTGAATTTGTTTTATTTTATCCCGTGCACTTTGAATTTCTGTGTTTAGATGACTCTCTAGGTATATTTAAGATTTGTTTTCCTCAATTATATTTACTCGTTTATTTTATGGCCCTCGAGACAGCGACAGGCATTTAATCCGGCCTCTTATTCCTAAAGTTTGGAGACCCCTGGGGTAGGGGAAGAAGTCAGGCGGCGGTAAAATGGCGGCTCCGATCCTGGGGCGCCCGCTGCGAAGGGATGTTCTCCGGGTGGGGCGATGAGTCCAGGGCTTCGAACAGCGGGCGTCCTCGAGGGAGTCGAGTGCAGAGCCGGAGCAGCCCGTGCAGGTAGGCTGCCACGAGGCGCTCCGAGAAGAAGGGCGGCCTGGGCCAGAGCCAGCCGTCGACGAAGCCCACGTGCCCACCCCTGGGGGTGAGCACGCCCGCCAGCCACGGGGACTGCTCCATCTCAGAGGCCGGGAAGGTCTCCAGGGCCCCGAACGCGTCGTCCATGGCCGCGAGGAACAGGAGCGGGCGCCGAATCGTCGACAGCTTGCCCTGCAGGAACCGAAACCAAAAGTTGGTCGCCGTGCGGTGGGAGCTTTGTGCTCACTGGACCAGTCGACAGCCCGCCTTCATGGGCGGGGGCGTGATCCAACGGAGAAGGTTCGACATTCGACTAGTCTAGTGAGCACTGACTTTCCACTGCTTTGCCAGCTTAGCGGTGAATGGAGTACTGGCAAGGACAGAGCCGTATTTAGAGAGAGTTTAACAATTCATTGGAATGAATAGGAGGGTGGTTTCATCTCAACTCGGGCACGAATTTTGGGTCGAACTTTTAATTTTTGTAAAAAAATACATGTCTCGGGCAATTCCTATAATAAAAGAAGACGCAAACGGCGAGTTCGTCCGATTTTTCGTTCTCAACTTACGGACCGTTGAAGCGGCCAAGGTGGAAACTGACGTTTTTCCAGCTTATCGGGGGTGCCATATTTCACTCCCATCTCTTTTCTTTACTTTTTACGCTGCATCAATATAACTTTTCGGGAACACTCTAGAGTTATGCTTTTCTTATGCTAATTAAGCGTCTAGGCCATAAGATCCTTAATGTTTTTGTTTTAATTGTCATAGCGCCTCTCTGCGACGATATTTGACGAAGTTCAGCAAGCTGTGCTGTCTGACCTAATCAACATATTTTTATAATCTTTACATCACCGTCAAGCTTCAATTAAGCTCTTTCTTCTGAGTATAACTTGAACATTTCGCGCTAAATATATAACGCGCAACATGCAAAACAAACATTTTGAAAAACAACCAAGTTTGGAATCGAGGTTCTAAAAAAAAAAACCTTTTTTATATTTTTTAGTTACAGTTATGTAATATAGTAATCTACCAGGAACTACCAACAGAAATTGCAATATATTTTTTGTATGGCCGCTATTGAAACTCGAATCTCGTGCTATGAGCGTTTTGAACGGGACCTCGCTCTGCTGTGCAAAATTTCGGCCTATGTAAGGTTTTCGGTTTATCGTTAGCAGTTATCTCAATACCCAACCGTAATCATTAACAAAATTTGGAGTAGTGCACTTAAAAAAAAAAAAAAAGAAGTTACTTAGAACTCCACAACCACAAGTGCGGGCACAGCGCTTACTTCCTTCTATTACGGGGGAATACAGATCATTAGAGAATTCCTCTGGGGCCTTTTTCTCTCGGCTTTGAGTTTAAAATACCGAACCTGATATGTAATTGTCTTATTTTCTAATGTCAAACAGTTATGCAGTGCATATACATGTGTACGATTGAGTATCTGACGCTTAGGAAGTACGGTTTATTTTGTCCGCGTACGGACTCTTTCGTAAAATAACGATCATTTCGTAAGGTGTAAGTCTTCAAATGTGTTAGTCATGCGTTTAGGTTTCATTCCTATTTTCAGTGATTCATTCCGGGCTACTTAGACTTTTCCCTCTTAAAGGAGCTATGCAACAATTTTTGTACTTTGCGCAAATACCGCTTAAAACGGATCCCTAACGTTAATGACGTATGAAACACGCGTTCGTTTTTCACCCCACGCAATGGAAGTCCCAGAAAAAAATTTAAGAAAAACGAGCAGCGTTCACCCCCTCAACTCGCAGCCAGAACAAGCGGCCACGTGATCTGGAGCCGATTATATGCCGCCAGTGTTGATCATAGCCACGCGCTGGGGTTGGCAAAGCGCAGGACACGCGCTGAGTTCCAGACATTGTTATGGCTCGGCTGTCGTCCTCGCTGCAGCGATTGGACACGGGTCACTACCCGAATGCTTCTCGAGCTAGCAATTGTCACGAGACCAAGTCGAGTGCCCACGCAATACTCGGGTCCAATCTATGAACCGCATTCAAATATCGTCACTTGGGTGTACTGCGATCCCCGAGTTACGTCATCAAATTTTGCAAAGGAGAGACTGAATGAAAATGATCGCTTTTGTCCTTGAAATTACACCGCAACAAAGGAGTTTCTTGGCCAATGGCGTTGCGTGTGAGTATCCTTGAGTCCCAGGTGTGCCAGTAAGCTCGTGTAGAGAGAAAAACATTCCAATTGAATATCGTTGCACAGCTCCTTTAAGTTTGTCCGGGAGTCTAGATGTTACGTATCTTCTCCGTCAATACCTAGGGCGAAGCTCACACACCTTGCAAATCACCCCAGTGCCAAATATATATATATATATATATTGTTAGGATAAATATTGTTGCTTCACTTGGTTTTTTGCTCAGATATTGAGGTAGGTACTAACATTAAATAGAAAACCTTACATAGGTCAAAAAGTCTGCTCAGCTGAGCGTCTATGCGAAGTCCCGTACAAAACTCTCATAGCGCGTGTTTTGAGTCCTAATAGCGTCCATACAAACAATATATTGAACTACCAGCAATTTATGTCGGTAGTTCCTGACAGATTACTATATTACCTAACTGTGAATAAAAAATGAAAGAAATAAAAGGTGTCTTTTTTTAGAAAATCAACTTCGAACTTCGCTGACGCCGCTTAAGCCGGAAACGGGTGCCTAAGAGCTGCGCTGTAAAAAGAATAACCAACATATCAATTAAGCCTCGTCAGTAGTGGCACTAGTAACTCAAAGTGATCACATTAGTGAACAAATTATCAAATGCTCCCCCAAAAATTAAAATTGTATAAACAATTATTCTAAGTTATCAAATGTGTAAGCAAAACACGACCACTGAACACAATAAGTGCATATATATATTGTGGATTAAATTGACTGACCCCGGGATTAAATTGTGTGGCGCTTGGATTAAATTGTATGGCGCTTGGATTAAATTGAGTGACCCCGGGATTAAATTGGTCGTCGCTTGGATTAAAATGAGCGGGAAAACCTGTAGATGTACGATGATAATTTGAAAGGATGAAACGAGATGCGCGGTTCTGAATCGCTTCTAATTCAGAGATAAGTGATTCTTGACCAGGATCCGAAACCGAAGCTGCATATTCCAATTTAGTACGAACTAAGGTTTTATATAAAAGTAATTTTAATGACCTGGGAGCAAGACAAAAATTTCTTCGGAGATATCCAAGCATGCGGTTGGCGTTATTTACAATATATTCAACGTGACACGACCAGGACAGATTAGCAGATATATGCATACCCAGATCTTTATACGATGATACGGTTTCGAAAGAGAGATTATTTTAGACGATAAGAAGCACACGGAGTATCAAGACAGGAAACACGCATAGATTTACTCTTATTAATGTCTAGTTTCATGCTCCACAAATCAAACCACTCAGAAACACTGTTAATATCTGACTGAAGAAGTGAGACGTCAGAATCACTGTTAATTTCGCGATAAATGACACAGTCATCGGCAAAGAGAGTCATCGGCAAAGAGCCTGACGGATGAACATATATTAGTGGCCAGGTTGTTAATATAAATGAGAAAAAGTAAGGGCCCCAGAACCGAGCCTTGGGGTTCATCTAAGCCAACTGGAGATAAATCAGAATTGATATTGTTAGCCGTCACAAACTAAGACCGGTTAGTGAGGAAGGAGCGCAACCATGCAAGAACGTTGGGGTCTAAGTTTAGTTTAGTCAGCTTGAGAAAGAGAAGTTCGTGAGATACCTTATCGAATGCCTTTGAAAAATCGAGGAATATGCAGTCCGCCAGAGACCCACGATCAAGAATGGAATGTAGATCATGTGTGAAACACAAAAGCTGAGTCTCACATGAAAATGACTTACGAAACCCATGCCGGGATGAATTGAAAAAAAAAAAACAAAAAAACATTGGACTCTAAGTAATTTGCAAGATGGGAGTAAATGATATCCTCCATGATTTTACAGGGAGTGATGGTAAGTGACACGGGTCGAAAGTTATTTGGCAAATGCTTTTCACCTGATTTCTGCAAAGGAATCACCTTCCCGATGTTCCGATCCTCTGGTATACAACCTGTATCAGGAGACCGCTGAAACAGTTTACTCAGGATTATAGAGCAATACATCTTAGTACTGAGCAAAAATTTAGAGTTGATAATATCGTCACCAGAGGATGACGACATCTTCAGTTTTTATATTATTCTCGCAATACCAACTGTGTCAATAAGAACTGGGTCCATTGGAAAAAAAACTTGTAAGTGTGACAGGCAGGGTAAGTATAATTTACATTACTGGAAAACGCCGAAACAAACACCGCGTTGAGAATGCTAGCACATTGACCGCTAAGAACTACTGTACCATCTGTACATCTAAGTGTTATAACATGCGTATAAGCATTGAAGGTAAAGTTTGACTAAAAAATGAGTATTTGGGTATTTCGCTTCTTTTAGTGCTACTTTGGAATCAGTAGCTGCACATCGGTAGGTGTCCGAACGAGATTGGGAATTGGATAACTTCGCGGAACGAAACAAGCGTGTTTTCTTGTTTGACAACCTTTTCAGTGACTGGTTAAACCACGGTGATTTTCGGTTCGATCTGATGGTTCTCAATGGTATGAACATATTTGTGAGTGAAGCCACTTTATTTTTAAATAAATTCCAGTTCATATTTATGGATCCCTCACCAAACCCTTGTAGGAACTCATCCAGAAACAAACATAGCTCACGATTAATAGCAACAAAGTCCGCCTTCTTATAATCTCTAATACATATATAGTGGTTATCTTGATTAGGAACAGGAATGTTCAATGTGAAGTGAAGCAAAGAATGATCGCTTAAACCTGTTAAGGTGGTCAATTCAAGATCCAAGACACTTGATGATGTGGGCGTAACTCGGGTTGGCTGGGTTACATCTTGCGAGAGATTGAAATCAGCACACATGTTCAAGAAATTGCTACACTCGGTAGAAAAGGGACAAGTTAAGGGGATTCGTTCGACCATAAATTATTTGGATAATTAAAGTCGCCTAGTAACATTATTGAATTTGGGGAACGTACCATAATTCAGTGTTACCTGACTTGGGCAAAGGAACCACCTTACCCACCTTCCAGTATTTCGGGAGCGTACAGGATTCCAACGACTGTACAAAAATATTTGATAATATTATCGAAGAATACACTTTGGTGTTGTTCAAAAGTTTGGGATTAGCGCCGTCATCACCTGGAGAAGAGGCAAGCTTCATATTTTGGACTAATTTGCATATACCTGTCCAGTCAATAACTACTGGATCCATCGGGAAGAAATCACGAACCGGAATATCGGGAAGCACAGCCGGTCTAATGTTACCAAAGGACAATGAGAATTCAGATTTTAAAACAACGCAGCAACCCACCGCAGGAACGACCAGTTCGCCCAGTGGTAACGACCAGTGGTAAGCTCAATCGGTTTCTCTTCATTTCCGTTCACCACGTGCCCAAACTTGCGTAGATTGGTTTCCAGTAGCAATGAAAGGGTGTGATTAAAAAACGCAATTTTGGAGAGGGACAGAGCACACGCGTACTTATCTTCTGCACGATGATAAGCTCTCCATCTTTCTGGGATCACAGATAGCTTGGCCCGTCGGATAAGACGCTTTTTTATTGTTCAGTGACCGCTTCAATGATGGCGTGAACAAAGGCGACTGCGAGTTTCTAATTTTACGAAGGGGTGTGTAACGGTTAGTCAGCTCAGTTACTTTCATTTTAAACACGAGCCAATTTAAAGCCAATTTTCGTCCAGCGTTCGCTCAGAAAATTTAAAAAGAAAATCAGATAAAAATACCTCTAGTTCAGCATTTATTATGGTGTAGTCAGCTCTGGTATAGTCCCTAATTATTTTTGCAGTAGCACATTTGCGAGGGGAGGTGTAAGGAATATTCGAGTGAATAACCGGGTGGTCGCTCATACCTGGTAAAACTGAAAGCGACTAAACAAGGTCTGGGTTTATACTGAATACTAGGTCAAGGACAGTGGCACTTGTCTCAGTTGTACGGGTTGGACATTTAACGAGTTGCGTTAAGTTAACACCCGAGCATGTAGTAAGAAAAGAATTGCATTCTGAAGAGCCGAAGCCTGCTATGGGAATAAGCGCGTTCCAAGTGACTCAGGGGAAAATAAAATCACCAAGAATGAAAATGGGTGATGACGGAAACCTTACCTGTAATGTATTTAAAACATCGTGGAAATCGGAAAAAGGAAGGTGATCTAGGGGGCGATAACAAGTTTTTATTACATCCTTATAATTCAGACGAATGCACGCTGAAATTAATTCTAGAGGGGAAGCAAGGATAAGGATAGATAACTGGGCGAGTTGGTGAGAGTTCATGTTGAAAAAACAGCGCGACTAAGACGAGGACACAGAGACACATCAAAATAAACTAACTCGTCACTAACCCCCATCAAAGCGCCTTCCAGTCCGAGTCCACCTGTAGAAGTTATACTTCTTTTGGCAATTTAAAATCCCACTGTTGTCTACTTTTGTGGGCAGCCAGGTTCCGGTCGACACCACTACACCAGCAAGACACGTGCCGATTAAAGATGACAAAGCGTCAGGCTTGTTTATAACGCTCCTGACGTTACGAAGCAAAAAAAAAAAAAAAAAAAGGGGAAAATTACGTAATAAAAAAACAACATGTTCGGTAGATGAAGGCAGATTACAAACACCACCCCTAGCTGACAGCTAAAGCGTTGAGGGTGCACCCTCCAAGCTTGATGGTTGTTGCATAGCATCGCGGGAGCCTCGGGGGCGAAATATGTCTGAGACACGTTCTAATTCTTGTTGATAAATATGACACTTGTCATTTACGAACAATTTGTTATGACTAAGTTTGAACGTGGAATGCTATGTCTTTCCAAACTCAATTACGTTCCTCCGGGCCAAACGTGTTGCAGAGGAAAGATCTTCGCTAACACTGATGCGGTTTAATTTAGCTTATCGCGGAGTTGCATCACATAATCCTTCGTCAAAAAAAAAAAAAAAAAAAAAAACATTTGAAAATTACAGGTTTGCATTTGTTGGCAAAGAGCTGTCCCAGTCTATGGGCACGTTCGATATCAAAAGCCAACGCGTTGACAATAGGTTCGATTGAACCACTATCAAATAGCTCGATAGCGCGTTTTTGATTTTTTCTTCTGCCTGCGACCACGTCTCGGATGCAGCGTCAGGTATCCCGTGAAAAAGGAGATTGTCACGCCTGGACTGGTCCTCTATTTCAGTAAGCACTGAATGCAAAACGGTATTCACTTTCCTTTGAACACCGTTCTCTCGTTGCAGTGCATCCATTTCACTTTCTAAAGTCTCGGCTTTATTCTCAACAGACGTGAGCGTTTCCCCAATATTTGTAATTTTACCATCAATACTTTTTTGGCTCTGTCTTATTTCATCGATAGAACTCTTTAACTCTGCTTGACCGGTCTCAAATTTTTCGGACCTAGAATTAAGTTCGTTCAACAGGTGCAACATCTGCTTAAGCTGGGCCAACTGCTGCGCACTCATGCGACCAGGGTTAGATCATGTCGCCTCAGCATAGAAGCGATCGAAAAAACAACAAAAAAAAAAAAAGAAACAGATGACGCCACACAAGACTGCAAGTAGTGTGGACAGGGAAGCAGCAATAAAAAGCGGTCATCTGAACAGTAACAGTAGCGATTGTCAAGGTATACCTGGACGAAAAAGAGGAACAACTTGCCAGGCATTTCGGCCGCGCTGCTGTCAACCTGTCCACTGAAGGGGTTGTCGAGACAACACGCGTTTATAGTCCTCATAAGAAGTGTTGAGGTGTCCTTGGACTTTTTTTGATGTAGGCTAAATGCAGCATAGATTTTGGACGGAGGAAAACGAACCCCACGTTGTATTATTTCTCTACTTCTCGGTGGAGCAGGTAGTGAATAACTGTTTGGTATTGTGCACACGTTTTTAACGCGAAACATGCACGTTTGGATATATTTTTGTGCTCCATTTTCTGACTTCTGGGTTTTTAGATAGACATTTTGCGAAGCGCGCAGCCGTCTCCGCGGCTCCGAAATGATCGCTGGAAACATATACCGTATAGAACCGCCTATAGCAGACCGTACCGCGGAGACGCCCTTAAAGTCGACGAATAAAACGCGGGTGGGGGTAGGCAAGCACCTGCAGTGCGCTCCCCCTCTCTTCAGTGTCCCATGGTAGCTGCTGCAGGAGCAAGGCCGAGCATCAAGACATTCCCAGAATTCGTTGCGCGCTCGCGGCCTTATAGGAATTTCGTGAAAGGTTTAATCCCGGCCTCGTACAACGACAGGCGTTGCTCGTGCTTACCGCTAGACTGGCGTGCACGTAGTAGTCGTCGGCGTTCTCGTAGCCGAACACGGGAGCCGTGTAGCGGTTGTCGAAGTCGTACAGCGTCCTGCTGCCCAGCACGCTGTCGACGTCGACGACGCCCTGTGATGTTCAACGAAAATCAACGGGGCTGTTCGCGTAACCTTGGCCGTCTGCCGTCGGTCGCCCAGAATTCGACCGTTTTCAGAAATCCCGGTGAGTGTGCTTCAGTATTTAGTTGCCGTGCTACTTTTTTAAACATATAAGTTGACAAGCTCTACGAAGGATCGTCGTTCGAAAACGGTTATTTTCTGTCGCCGGTGCGATCAGGTTTGGCGGATAGCGATCCAAGCGCCACCAGCGGCACCGCTCCCGCGGGCAACAAAGAACTACCGTTTTCAAACCACACTCTTTTTGCGCACATGTTTGGGCAAACTTCATCATTAGCTTAAAATCACAATATAATCACTTTCCACCGCTGATAGTGTGCATCCCACGTTCCGCCGATTCCGTCGCTTCTGTCCATATGAGTCAATATGACATCCCTGGATTCAAGTCCCACTTGTTGTTTCTTACAAGTACTACCATAGCCTGCTCTATACTCACAAAACCTGGCAGTTCGACGACGGAACCATAGAGTGCCCGGTCGCAGATTTGGAGCGCGAGGATCTGGTAGCACAAAACATTTCTCGGAGAACCTGGACGTCATCGTACAGCTTTTACAGCAGCGAGGACCCGAAACATGGTCTTCAAACCCGACGAGAAAAGAAGCGGTAGCGCGAGGAACGCGAGGAGCCTGAGCGGACATTCCGTCGCTCGGGAGAAGTGTGTTTCGGCGTCTCGCCGCAGCGGGCCGCCCGTCACGTGGCTCTGCTCTCATCCGTTGTCTGCCGCTCCACCTTTTCAATTTCGTCACCCGATTTTCGTGGCGATCTGCCAGGCTTTGCCAGTATAGAGGAGGCTATGGTGCTGCAAACCATTGTTGTGAGAACGCACAAGGCACGTGTCACGAGCGAGTGCTTGCCGCTATTCGCTTCCAAGTGCCGCTCATTTCAGTGCCGCGCCGCCATTTGTTTCCATGGGCCACACGAGGCGTGGTGCTTCTGCGGTACCGCATTTGATGACTTGCATACACGGACGCATCAAGGGGTTTTAGGCTTATAGAGTATCGAGCGCTACCGAGTGGACTCGCCACTAAAAGGCGGCAGACCTTACAGCTTTGGTTGCGTGGTCATTGTGGCGCGAGAGCGCAAACATTCCTTCCAGCAACCAAGCTAGGTCTTGTTGGCTCCATTGAGCTACTGTGCCCTAGACTGAGCTCCCAAGAGATCGCTTTTGTTCCCGTTGTGGCTTGTGCAACACCTCCAATATTGCACAAAGAAGCTTCTTCACACCCCTTCCTAATGCACCCTTTGTTTTCTCGTGTTTCCTACCCCAAAATCCTGAAACCAAGTCTCCGATAGGGGATGCGGTTCTTTCAAAAGCGGTAGATGATTAGGCTCAACACGCGTGTGCAGATGTGCGCTCGCGTTCCTCGCGAGATGTGTAGTGTAGGGTACAACATAAAAGGTAATTCAATATATAGCAACCCAGAAACTACTCAAACTAATGCGGCAGCTTACTAAATTGAACTCGACGGTTAGCTTTCCACCGCATTCGGCTGAAGGTTAGTGAGATTTTCTTCGCATCGAGCGATGTCGTGGCGTTTGTTTTCGGTGAGCTTCTTCAGCGAGCTAATCTGCCGTGAGCTTTTTCACGTCACCAGGATTGATAGCAGCACGTCCACATGTTCTACTGTATTCACGAATCCAGCAAGATGGACGGCACCTAGCGGGAAAGCACTGAACTGGCCGGAGCAGGTTTATTCGCAATTTCATGTTCGCCTCTTGTGGCTTTTGTGAGTACATACTTTAGGCGGCTGGCGCGATAGACGTCAAAGTAAAGCCAGGCAAGTCGCGTTGGTTGTTTCCAAAGCACTTAAAGCTGCAGCAATGACAGTGTTGCAAGGAAATCCATCGCTCATATTGGCCTAAGTAATTAGACGCTCCTTGCATTGCTTGTCATGTTGTGTAGAGCGAACAGTTGTTCCAGTGACTCCGCCCTTACTGTCGTGTCAGCGTGTTGCATAGGTCGCTCTGAACGCAGATTACGCAACCGCATGAACCAGTCGTTTTGATTTTATCAATGTTCAATAGTGCGGTAGAACAACAACACGTAGCAATTTCGTCGGTTCCCCGCAAGGAGGTTAAGCCTTTGGAAGCTCGAATACGCCAACAGTCCGCCGCGGGTCTGGAACATGGTAGATAAAATCTTTTGAAGCCATTGCTTGCCCGCTGAAACCCGAGCGTTGTGCGTGGAGCTGGCACATGGCATGGCACTACCTGTTTTCGGCTGCCGTATTTGCCCGAGACGGACGACGTCGCTGGAGTCACAGACACTCCGTTTTACATTGCTATAGATCGCATCAGACGCTGCGAGCAGACCCAGCCAATCAGCTTTATGATCATATCACGTAACCACGCTCTCCTCCCGAAGGTCCCGTGACACTCCCATGGCATTGGATTGACTTTCATTGCGCCTCTGCGGTTTAGCGCGAGGTCAAACGGAGTATTCACAATGCGACATCATATTGAGCGCGGATCTTAGTTGTGCACGCGCGATCTTCACTTCCGCGAGTGAAAGTTGTCCCCTAGTGTTCCATGTTTCTGCAGAAAACCGAAAAACTCCGCAAGAAATGGCACAACTTTCGTAGTTCTGGTTTTATCCGAAAAACTCCAATATTCGAGGTTACGGTGACAAAAGCAAAATTATATCATACTATAATCATTGGCAGGTTAAGAGTGAAGTGCAAGTTCCTCCCACTTCTTTCCACTTTAACAGAGCGAACGCTGGAGAGAAGGCGACCTACACAGCAATTCAGGCACCACGCTAAATTTAGCGGGAAAATTGAGGTCACGACTTACGCACGAATTCTGATTCCCTGCTAACTTTAGCGGGAAAATTGATGTCACGAATTATGCACCAAATCAGGTTCCCTGCTAAATTTATCGGCAAACTTTACGTCACGCGACCTCTGCACCAATTGAGTTTCCCCGCTAATTTTGGCGGAACGATTTATGTTACGTGACCTGACCTCACGTGACCTGGAAACAAATTCAGGCTCCCCGCTAAATTTAGCGGGGAACCTGAATCGGTGCATAAGTCACGTGTCGAATGCTATCGCAATTCATAGACAACCAACAAAAGTGGTTTCTGTAATTTGTTTTTCATGATCTTTAGCGGTTGCGGACTGGCCCACCAACACGTCTCATGCTTACGAGGCTTCTGAGGTTACTTCGCGATAAAGCTACCGTTTTAAGAATTCGGTATAAGGTCTCTTTCACAATAAGTACGATCTTTCGGAATTTGCATCTTATCAATAATAACTAGATAGATTGAAGGCTAGGATTCTTTCTGATTGAAGGAAGGGTTACGTACGCTAGACTGCAGCAGGCGGCGGTGTTTCCGGAGGCGCTTTACGAGAAAGTAGGTGAGGTACACGTTGAGCAGGAAGGCGGTGCTGTAGCCCATGAGGTTCCTGCGGCTGGTGGGCAGGTGGAAGGGCGCCGATATGGCGACGGCAGCGTCGATCTGCGCATCGTCGCCCAGCAGGCGCAGGTAGTGGCCGAGAAGGACGCCGCCCAGCGAGTACCCGACGGCGAGCACAGGACAGTGCGGGAAGCGCTCCTTGACGGCCGCGATAACCTGCAAAGACACCATCCTCGTTCGGTCATGCCCCGGCGTTCCTATGGAAAGCCGGTGAAGCGTCGCCCCTTTTGGCATGGCCTTGCTGGAAAAGACACAACCGAGACAGGACACTGTTTGCAAATGGAGTTTAATCAACAAAGAGGGCACGAAGAAAGTAAGGAAATTATGTTTATCGCATTAAAAACGCACGAAAGCAGACTCGCCAACCATACACCACGTACCGAAGTCAGACGTGTCTCACGTCTGTTTGGCTGAAAGAAAGCACTGTCCTCTGTTTGCAGCAACAGCCGTTAATGGGAACCTTCCAGGGAAATGTCGGGGTCGTACTTCGCGAAAACACTCAGTGACAAATCACGCGATTGGTCCTAGCTGCTACCGTAATAAGCAATTCACAAGAAAATGTAAAATTTTTGAGTCTTGGTGTCGGATTTGAAACAGGGACTTCTGAAAAACTGCAATCGTTTCTACCGCTCTGCCAACTGAGGTATCGGCGGGACAAAGTTTAGTGAATGAAATGCGGTATACATCCCACGTCTTGCTACCTTTCATATAGTTTCGGCGCTTCTTGGGCCTCAAGGGTTCACGCGACGCCAGAAAATGGCGAAAGGCAACAAGCGCGGGCTGGAGGCCGAACGTTCGAGAGACGCCCTGACGTTCGCATCTTGTCAGTGACTATACGGGCAGAAACTGAGGGAGAGGAGGAGATGAGAGAGACACCGAGCTTTGCTTGGAATGATCAATAGACGAGAAGCTAGCTGCCTTTGTGACTACTCTGCAGTGCTCACAAGCGTTCAAACAGCGAGACAGAGGCAGCTATAGCTTGCCTCTGTCACTAATCCAATAATCCCTGGAAAGAGAGCTCGGTGTTTTGACGTTCCCGTGCTCTCTCATGTCTTCCTCTCCCTCAGTTTCTACTAAAAATGCTGCGAATCTTTTTCGAACCAGATTTTTGAAGATCGAACCAAGGGGTTCGAAAGGTTCGAAAACGTTTTTAAATGTGGAACTTACCTCATAAAAAATCCCAGGATTTTCGACCTTTCAATTTTTGGCGCTAAGAAATTGGATTGTCTTCAAAGTTCGAAGTCCTCAAATTCTGGAAATAGCTGAAGCAGTAAATTCAATAGATACGTTCAAAAAAAGAATAAAGGATTATATTTTGAAGCTTGAATAATATATTGGATACAAATGTTTAAACAACCTTGTTTTTTCGTTTTGTTTTTGTTTTTGTTTTTTATTGTTTTTATCTGTGTTGCCGCTCTGAAACCTGTATGGGGCTCGGGACCTTGGTCAGGTGCTATTAAGCACCTTTTGTCCCTGCCACCCCACTTCAAAATGGTTAATAAATCAAATGAAATGAAATGAAGTTTAGAATTTTCGGCGCTAAAAATTTGTCAAATTTCAATCTTTCGATCTTGTCACGGAAGTTCACACAGAAAGAATAAAAGGCTCGAGGTACCCCTCAGCACTTCTTACGAGTTGTGAATGCGAAAGCACGCACGCCGCTCTTCGCTCCCTTCTTTAATCTGCGGCGTACAAGTTACAACGCGCTCACCTTGGGTGTGCAACGGTGGAGCCGTTGCCTCGCGGACACGCAGCGCCATCGGGTGAGTGATCGTTCAAACTGTCGTGTGCCTTGCGGCGCCATTAGAACGAACAGACAGCAACGTAGGTCCCGGCAGAACAAACCCCTCGGCTTATTCTGTACAACCGATAAGAGGCGAGCGAACGCGGTGATCAGTGATAACCCAACAGTATGATAACATAGTGATGATGACACCACCCAAACTGACGCGCAGCGGCCAATGGGAGCCTCGTCGACTCGCGCCAGCCAATGGGACCGAAGTGTAAAAGGTGCCGTTGGCTAGCTTAGCGCGTGGTTTCATTAAGGTGCCGTTTTGCATCGTTTCAAAGCTAACGACGTCGACTCGCTTTATGAGACAGTTAATGCTTTCGCATTAAAAACACTGAAAATAGACGAGGGACAAACACTCACAGTTCTTTCAACGAGCAACGACATTTATATTATGGCCATCCCACTGCGAAGAACCACTTTGGTCACAGAGAAAATCAAATAAAGACGAAAATACTAAAAAAATATAAAAATAATGAGAACTGAATTTATCTTCCTGGAAAGGAAGAAGAAAAAGAAAATGGGGGGAGGCTTTTTCTGGGGTCACAACTCTGGCGCTAGCAATTCCAGCTCTGGTGTCGATAACGACAACGAGGACTCTGAAACATTGTTTGTGGCAATCTAGATCTTAAATGCTTGAATTAGTTCTCGCCCATAGTTGTCTATTTTCAGTTTTTTTTTTTAAATTCTTTCTGTGTGAACTGGTCTGTCCAACGCGCTCTCACGTGCACCTTATCACGAAACATTTTTTTTTTTAAACTTTCCATTCTACCAAGTTTAAAAGTTTGACGAACTTCGAGCTTCTGAATAAAACATCGAGAAAGTATGAGCCAAGTTCACCCCCCAAACTTCCGAGGCATCAAATATCAATGGCGCACGATATCAATCGGTCAAGTGGAAGGGAAATTATCCTGTAGTTTTACTCAGCTGATCGTGCCACCAACAACTGCTTTTAAAGCGCCGAATGATCGCTTTCGGGTAGCCTCCCGACCTCGTACCTCGTACTTTTATCCGGCGTACGCATTGATCCTCCCCCGTGCACAACTCCGTAGGTTGTCTCAAGGTAACCTGTGGACCAACAGATCCCTGATCTGCAGTCTTGACATTCAACGAAAGCGCTTTGCTGGGGCGTCCTTTACAGCCCTAATTGTTTTTGGACGCAAGTCCCCCGATTTCCTCGAGTAAGCGGCTGACCGGAGAAAGGCGCCCGCGGATCGAGCACGACACCGGTGCTATACAGCGAGCACTGGATCGGCGCTTACTTAATTATCGTGAGTAACCGGCTGATTTCTGGAGCGGCGAACGTCTATATTAATTGACGAAGAAAAGTTCTCGACACTGGAGATATGGCGAGCCCGATGAAAATCGGTCCTGACCACATGAGTTGAATTTTCGGGCGCCGGGGGGCCCCCAATTTAATCTGGATGCGTTCTACTCGACCTTGAGTTGCGTCGAGTGCTGTGCCTGTGTACAGAGTTTTATCGTTCCCACGGGTCATCCCACCGAGCACAAACGCTCAGAACTAAAACGTTTGGGAATTAAGCCTGCTTGTACTGTATATTTGAATATTTAGTTCTCTTACGCTAGCATCCCATTTAGGCGACATTTGATCGGGTTGCTACAAATTCTCAAAGAGGTAGAAAGTAGGTTTACCTGACCGCCTCGGGGCTTTTCGATGAACCGTTCAATCAGTTCCTCCGCAGCGGGCACCTGCGTTAGCAGGTGTTTGGATAGTGGCATCACCACGGACCCCGAGCCATGTGGGTTCACCCACTCACGCCTGGCTGTGCGTGGCATCCCAGGCAGCACAAGACGTCGAGATGACGCCGAAATAAGGTCCTAGACGTTGGGCGACGTCGAAGTCCTTAAAGGGACACTGACAGGGTATTTATGCTCGCCGAGGTTTTTAGTTGTACGTGTCATATGAGAGCTCAACTACCCAGAACAGAATTTGCGGCTCGAAATTCGGTTTCTTTCCGCCCGAAAACCGCCGATCAAGAACTGGCCGGTTCGAGTCTCGCTCACTCTCTTTTTCGAGGTCACGGGCCGTTTTCTAAGGTATCGATGCGACCACCAAATTTAATCAAAGTCGTGGGTCACTGAAGGCACACACTCTATATTAAAAATAGAAAAAAATATGAAACCCATTTTTCGTGGCTTCTAAAAAGCTGTAAATACGTTGATTGAAAAAAAAAAGTTCCACAGACAACCGGAAGCATTCTGTGCGTTCGTCGTTTCGCGTATCGTGGGACTCGCGGGGACGGCGATGGTAGCGGACGACGGGCGTGGGGCCTCTATTTCAGAACTGTCGTTCGCGGTACCGGCGCATTCTGTCTACCTTTAAAAGAGAAATTTGGGACTGATCAAAAGAATTGGTATTCATCCCGTACGACACGCCCGGCCACCAAGCCGATTTGCACGAAGACGTCGCCGAGCCGCCGCTCCCTTCTCGTGGCTGAAGACATCGCTCGCGCAAACGTCAAGCACGACGTGTCTACTTTGAGTTCAATATGCATGCGTACGATTTCTTTACTAGGTGCGAATGTCCCCAAAGCGTGGTGCTTCCCGACTTCGACTCGGGAGTGCTTTTGCTATAAAAAATCGACAGCAAACTTTCCAACTTACAGTTTACCGGCTTAATTATTACAAAGGAAAGAGATCCGCCAGAAAAGAGATCCCCCAGTAGCGCAGTGGGAAAGACGTCCGTTTCACACGCGGTAAGACCGGGTTCGTTTTTTTTTTTTTTTTTTCAAACATTTCCCGATGTTTACGTATCTTTTTTCTTTTTTTACAATCATCGCTGAAGAAACAAACAAATGTTGCGGACGATATTTCGCTGAATTAAATGGTATGTGATTTCCTTTTTGACACCTGCGAACTCAATGTAATCACTTTCCACAAAATGCAAGGAGCATATAAATCAGGTAGCGTCCGCTTTCCGAGGTGCCCGTATATGTTCTACAGGAATCGCAGCCAGCCATTGGTCCCGATCCCGTTGATCTTTCGGAAACTCTGTCGCACAATGCCACTTTTTTTCGGACGCAGGACATGTGAGCCAGCTCTTCACGCAACATCTTGGGTGTATTCTTTTCGGAGCCGATCATGGAAATTCACCACGGGCACTCGCTACTCATCTCCGACTCCTCAATGTACAAAACAACTCACCTTGGAGTACAGAACAACGAGCGTAACAAACATAACTGCAAAAGAATCGCCCGGCGAGCAGTTCCCGCACGCCGCATCGCATGTCGTGTCGTCTGCTACGGAGAGGAGAAAAAAAAAAAAAAAAAACAACAACAACAAAAACGCACGGTCGGGTTTAGCCACGTGACTTCCGCCACTCACTCTCTTCTCTCCACTTCTCCGACCTCCGTCGGGTTTC